ACACACACACACACACACACACACACACACACACACACACACACACACACATGCAAACACACACGCACATTTACACTCACGAACAACATGCATCCTCGAAACTACGCAAAATAAAGAAATCTAAACAAAGCGACCGTCCCTCCAAAAACAAAACAAAACAAAACAAACAAAACAAAGGCACATAGTCCGAGCGCCAGATGAAAAAGCTTGTTTTGCGTCATAAAGTTTTTTTCTTTGGTGATTCTAACAGAGTTTTCATTGCTGATTTCAAATCTAATGGGGCACAAATGCTAAACTTTGGGCATTTTTGTCTAAAAGTGAAAATCCAAGATGGCCGCCATAGAATTTCGAGTGAAACATGTTGTGAGGGATATCATGCATTTAAAAGACTTTAAAATGTACACACTTAATTAAATAGCATTCAGAGTGACAAAAGTAACCACACTTGATGAAATACACATCAAATATTCGATAAAAGGGCACCTTCAAAGAAAACAAGATGGCCGCCATATAGTTTTCATAAATGTGCTTATCCGCAATACACTTGAAATCGCCGCATAAAAATCACGACCTCACATGGATAAGTTCTGCCTCGTGGCAGAGGGCGACACACACACACACACACACACACACACACACACACACACACACACACACACACACACACACACACACACACACACACACATACACACATATATATATATATATATATATATATGTATATATATATATATATATATATATATATATATATATATATATATATATATATATATATATATATCCGTATATTTATATAGAGACTACAATATTACTTTACTTTAAAGCATTTCATCAAGGATATATATATATATATATATATAGATCGGAGATAGTACAGACCGTAGCGAGCATAGTTGATGTGTCCAGACGCAAAGAAGTAGGAGAGCATCTTTTCTACAGCAAACAAGTGAAGAGTCCTGTCAGCTTCTCTCTCAGCCCGAACAAAGGCCATCATAATGAACACTGGGTCAAGGATGCACTCAACCGAAAGTTTTGTCGTTTTACTCTGGGTGATTTTGGTGACGAGACTTTGCGTGAGTTCAGCCATGGTGTGTAGGCCTACGTCAGTGTTGAGGAGAATGGATCGCAGTAACTCCTCAACAAGAAGTCTCAATGCTTTTACATTTTGTGGGTATTTTTTTCTGGGTCAACATTTTTGGCACCCCTACAAGTGCTGAGCCAAGTCTTCAATGCCACTTCCTCTCATCAGGTATCCCATAGCACTAACGAAACACCTCAGTATATGCATACCGCACCAAGTCTTGTCAGCCCATGTGATGTGGACAAGTTCTTTGTATAGCTGCTAGTCCCTGTTGAATATTGTCCATCCCTGACTAGTGAGCTGTGTCAGATCCTTGGCTTCAACCATTTCTGTTTTCATGGTGTCTGGCTCAGATGGGATCATGTCCAAGAATGGGCTGTACACCACAACTGTCTTTGGTTGGGGTTGTTGTTCTGCACTGCGTTCACTTTGTGTGTTATAACCTCCATACTCAGGTCTTGCATCTTCGCAGAGTGCCTGTTTAAAAAATTGACAGATCCTCATTCAGTTGCAGTTCTGTATAGAGAAACCTGTCGTGTGGCAAGAAAGACCAGAGATGGGACATGTCACAGGCACAGATCTTTCGGCATGAGTGGTTTCTTGTTTCCTGTGTGCCGTTGAACTGCAACGTCACCAAGTGTGAGATTATCGGACGCTTGATGGTGGGAATATCTTGCATTTCCCACACTTGCTCTGACTTCTGCTTGTTGGCTTGTGCCAGCATCATTGCTAAGCCGTGCGTTGATTTCTGGCCATTTGGAGATGATATCTGCGTGTCAAAGTTGCTAGCTACAACTTGAAAAAGTCCTTGTTTACTGTCAAAGTAGGCCAGTCCTCATGGAACAGATGCCACAGCAACAGCAGCTGAACACCGAAAGCGCCTCAGTTCGTCGTATGAGGTGGTGGCTTCATACGTATGAAGCTCGTCTATAAATTTCCTCTGTCGACTCAACAGGACACTAAGTCCATGTTGCAAGTTTGTGAAATAGCTGCTGACTGTACTCGTAACAAATTTGACCAATCATTGCTGCTGGCAGCGTAGAATCCAGTTTGGGGTCTGTGGCTGCAAGGAGCGATAGCAAAGTTGGGCTGCACTCATTCATGACAAATCCCCTAGGTAGACGAGTTGGGTACGTATGGCGATTGGGCTTTGGACATTCTGCTTTGACCACGCTAACCAAGCATGATATGGCTCGTCCATTGCAGTCTTCTTCATCATCCACAATACGCATATGGGCAGAAGCCGTGCTCCTGAAGACGAGGATGGAAGCCACACCTGGTGAGGACATGATCGGCAATTTTGGTTCAGGAGTGAACATCGCGGTTTGTCTTTCCCTCCAAGTTCAATATAGCGTTCATAGACTTCCACACTATTCCACATGCGTGATTTGTTTCATCGAATCTCCTCAACCAGCATACTAAAGACATTGTCATGCGTTGTAGGTGAGCTAGTTGATTGCGTTGGACTGCTTGTGTAGAACCAGGAGCAGCAGTCTCTGTGACACCTAGCGTCTGCTGCATGCAAATCACTGACTGTTGATGACACACGGAAGCTGACATCTGTTCCTCATTTGTCCCCACGTTCCTTGGCACTTTTTGTATTTCTTCTTTGGTGATCTCCCTCCCTTTCTCCTCTCCAGTTCGGCGTAAGTAGGCTTTTTCCAACGATGTGGGTGTTTTAGGGGGCATCAGTGAAAATGCTTCTCCTCAGAAAAACAATGTTCATGAAAATTATACGAACTAGTACTGCCCCTATGACGGTCGGGTTCTTCTTCAGAAAGTTCCTCAGTCTTCCCCTTTAGTAAAAATTGCTTAATATGGTCTCTGGAACAATGTGTGCTCTTACAGTTCTGGTGACACAGTATAAACTCAGCATCTTCTGAAAGTCTCTGACTGAGTCCATCATCTCGCAGCCGGCTTGCTTCCAGAAAACCACTAATCCGTCTCGATTTGATCAGGGGTGGGTTCTTTCTTTGACAGAAAAAAAACATTCCATGTCTGAGAGAGAGAGAGAGAGAGAGAGAGAGAGAGAGAGAGAGAGAGAGAGAGAGAAAATCGCATTAGAATGTGTATAAAAGTAATTGAATGAGACACTGTGTGTGTGCATGTGTATGTTGCATGAACCAGCCTGATCGCATCACGTCCTTGTGGATACGTAGCGTTTTCCCACATTCTACGGAGGTGTGGTGTGACGAAGCACTGTCTGCCAATGTCTCCATACTCTTTGCTTTGCTAGCTGAGTCCATATTACAGCAGGTCGTGCTGTGCACCTTTCGGTGCATCCTGTGACATCACGATGAGAAGAGCTGTGTTAGCGTTAGGCCTAGTACCCTCGCGCGAATCTTGGCCGACTCGTACATGGTAGAGGAGGGCAAAATTCGGATAACCTAGCCGAATAACCGGATAATTCTCAATGAAATATTATCTGAATTCAGACTCTAAACTCTTTCCTGACCCGTTGCCGAAGTGAGTGTTCCTATTTGTTGATGAAGTAATGCTAACCCGTTTATCTAAGAGGTTTTGCGGAATCGGTTCATAACATATTATTTGCCTAAGAGGTGTACTGACATATTATCCGGATTTTGCTAAAGCGACTCATGGCCCAGCTCTAGTCGCTCGGCTATCATTCTTGCATGATACGGGTTGGTGTATTTCAACCAGCAGAAAAAAAATTATGCCCATAAGATACAAGTTGGCCCTCGACTGATATGAAGTCTAGAGACCCAGAGGAAGCAGAATCACCAAAGAAAAAGACTTTATGATGAAAAACAAGGTTCTAGTACTTTATATAGACCCGGCTCTCGGACTAAAACGAACAAGCAAATAGACAGGAACCGAAAACGAAACCAAAATATAGTAAATTGCAAACTAAAAAGCGGTAAGAATTATATGCACCAGATTTAAGAAACAGAACAAAGTCATCTTATTCTGCTTCTCCTCATGAAGCAAAACTTCATCGAAAGCACAATAACAAACAGACAAACTACCTAACTAACTAGCTAACTCACTCATTCACTCACTAACTATCTAACTGACTGACTGACTAACTAACTAACTAACTAACTAACTAACTAACTAACTAACTAACTAACTAACTGACTGACTGACTGACTGACTGACTGACTGACTGACTGACTGACCCACTTACTGACTGACTGGCTAACTTATAAACAAACAAAGAAGAGTTACCCACCACTATGTGTATGAGGTTCTTCAAGGAGACAGTGATGAGCTGGTGCAGGGGAGCGTCTTTGCCCGCGGAGTCACTCAGCTGTTGGCACAGGTGCCCCAGCTCTTCATCAAGAGCCTTCTCGCTGAGCATACCTTTGCCTCCCGACACGTCGAACACCCTGGTTGATTGATTGATTGATTGGTTGATCCGTTGATAGATTGATTGATTGATTGATTGATTGATTGATGGACTAATTGATCGATTGATTGATTGTATGATTGATTGACTGACTGATTGATTGACTGACTGATTGATTGAGTATTTATTTATTCATTTGTTTATTTATTTATTCATTGCCTGATTTATTCATTTACAGTGGAGTCTGTCTAAACCGAAATTTGCGGGGATTGAAGGCTGGGGAAGGTTAATTAAGAGGTTTACAAGTGTGTGAGTGAGTTGTAAGTTGGGAGAGAGAGAGAGAGAGAGAGAGAGAGAGAGAGAGAGAGAGAGAGAGAGAGGGAGGGAGAGGGAGAGAGAGAGAAAGACAGACAGACAGACAGACAGACAGATAGGCTGACAGACAGAGACAGAAACAGAGACAGACAGAGACAGAAACAGAGACAGACAGACACACAAACACACTGACACACAGAAAGACACACAGACGGACACACAGCCAAACGCACAGACAGACAGACAGATACACAGACAGCCAGCCAGCTAGACAGACAGATACACAGAAAATGTGACAAGCAGATAGACACACACACAGACATACAGGTAGAGACAGAGGCAGTAGACACAGACAGAGAGAGACACAGTGGAAGTGTTTGCGTGCGCGCGCACTCGCACACTCGCGCGCGCGTGTGCGTGTGTGTTTGTGTGTGTATGTGTGTGTG